GAAAGTGCATGCTGGTGATGCGTATGTTTTTCAACTCATGTATGCGGTCTCTAAGGTGTACTCTGCTTGAGGTTGATTTAGGATCCTTGATTCCGTGCTGAGTTGGTGTTCGCTGCCGGCCACTGCTGCAGGAGAAACTTGACGCTGGGAAGAATAGTCACAGAAACTCACTGTTGTGGTGACGCTAGTAACGGAAACACTTATTCGCCTTTCCAGTCTGACATAACTGTCCTGTAGTGTTGACACACTCTCTGCCAATTTAGTGACGATGTCGACAAACGTTTGCGTATGCGAACCATCGAGGAATAATATCGATTCGAAGTAACCTGGTCGCCATCTTGTCGCATGGAATTGTGGGATCGCGCACGTCTTGTCCTCGAGTCTCTCAAATTATTTATCAAACCCGTTCGTTTCCCGTTGGCACTGAACGGTATCGTCTATCTTGTCAATTCCTCACGGAAACGAGCTACCGGAACGTACAGAACAACTGTAGAATTCCTACTAACTGAGTAATCGTTGTGTAATATAAGATAAATCCATAGTGTAGTAAACACTTGAAATGTCGAAGAATACGCGAAAAGCAAACACACCAACACCCGCCGTAAATCAATAATGAGGGGCACTGACAATACCACATGCCCTCTAGGGGTTAATGGTGATTGGTTAACACTCCCCTAATTTGCATAAAAACATAAACATGAAAAACCTAGATACAAGAATATTACAACACATAAACAAGTAAATTAACTTAAGTAAATTCACACATATATATCAAAACGTTCCACTGTTAAAAAAACCCACCTATGATATATATAAGCAAGGGAGCACTAAAAGTTGTATATAAACTATAATTTAACACACATGTCAAATTATCATTATGATTCTTATATGTTTAACTTGCAGTTCGACGTAGTGTATGATCGTGAAAGAAAATTCATGCTCAGTTGGGCTTGTTTGTGTTAATTGTAATAATTTTAATGTTGTGCTAAAATATTTATAGCCATTATACGATACAGCCATTTTAATATCTTACAAATAATATCTTAACTTTATATATTTTACAACAATTATGAAACTAGAGTTACTTCAACTTATATTAATCACTCTTGTTGGCGAGGACGTTAGGGATCTTAATCTCAAACCGAAGTACCCTAAGAAAACCAACATAGTCGGGCAGGTGACCCTATACCTTTTCATGCCAATTAGGGAATAAATGCCGGGTTGCCTTGGTGAAAGGGGGCTGCATTATCAACCATGCCACCCATCCACCTATATCCAAGTCCTCTGGCCTTCATGATCAGCTATGATTACAGGAATATATGGTCCCCTGGTTATCTTTTTCACTGACTTTGAGGTTCATAGTTACTGTAACCACCTTGATCATTTAATTCCAACTTCTTGCTTTCACCATGTGGAGTGTATTCATGATAAAACACATCGCAAGTGTGTTGAAGAAGTCTGCAGACAGTGTCCTGAAGTATACATGGAATATAGTGGCAGAGAGTTAGCTGCACTGTATATCAAAATCCTGTGTATATCAATAAGGTATTTGCTAGTCCAGCAGCTGATATCTTTCACACTGAATGATACTTTCTATCTATTCATTGCATTCGTAGTTGCAGGTTTTCTAGCGAGATGCAGATGATAAGGATTGTAGAAATATAGTGGTTGTTTTGGTACATCTCTGCTATATATATTGATATAATTACCAAACTACACAATTGGAAGTATTTTATAAGAAAGTCTTACCGGATAATAGCAGAAAACAGTAAAATTGCACTGATTACATAGCCAATTCAAAACAGTGCGCGATTTTATTTGTCCGTTGTGATGTTATGATTATATGGCGTTAAAACATTATGTTATTGATTCCCAGTATTGTTTTCATACTATAACACTTTTTTTCTCACTTTGGATACGTTAAAAATGTAATGAACGGACAATGTAATGGTTTTCCCATTGAACACCATTTATGCTTCACTTGTATGGCAGAAAATACCAATATTTTTCACTCATACTTTGCACCTATGAAAAATGTTGTTATTCTACCATACTCATAAATGGTATCAGGACACCAATTAAAAGTCTATACAAGTTTTTTGCATGTTTTACTGTTGCATTATAGCTGCATTATAGCTTTCATGATTATAGTTTGAAATTGAAAATTAGATTTTGAGTCGATTACTAATCAACTTTTTATTTGTGTTTTTCAGATGAAGAGCCAAAAAAGGTGAGCAACAATTTTTACGTTTAAATCAATCATACTCAGTTGAAAAGTTAGGTTTTAGGTGAAAGTATATTTTATTTTGACAAAAGTGTTAGCTTTGCTGCAGGCTAAACTAAAACACGCCTCACTTTTTAAATTTTATTTTTGAATTTGTGTGCCATTGCAGGAAATCAAAATGAACTCCCAATTAAGAGGCAACATTTTTTGCTTCATTAATCTCAAGAGATTTCTTAAACTGAACTGAGTTTTTGAAATCAAACTAGATATGTGGACTTTCATCTTCTGTTGAGTGAAAAGCAAAGTAAGTTGACTTCTGGCCACAGTTGTGAGTAGAAAACTGGGTTTGTACTGACTGCTAATGTGAATGGGAAGTCTAAAGACTTCTGTCCACTGCTGTGAGTAATAAGCTGGTTCTAAATTTAGCTGAACTGGACTGGGTCAATCACCGGTGACCAGGTAGCTCAATTGGTTAGAATGTCTGTCTATAGAGTTCGGAGGGTCCAGGGTTCGAACCATGGCTAGGCCATGCATTTTTCTGCTCCAATACACTAAGTCTTTAAGACTTCTGTCCACTGTTGTGAGTGAGTAAGCTAGGTCTCCAGACTTTTACCTTCAATTTTTTGTATTGTCACTCAAGAATTTCAATATACAATGAGGTGAAGTGTTGAATCATTTTCCCCTACGGTACATAATTACTCCACTGTTATAGTGTTACAGTGTGTACAACTAGTCGCCGTAGCTACAGCATCAATATAGTCAATTATAAATGAAGCGATTATGAAATTCATTTCACGACTTTCATGGCTGATGAACTAGCATTTGTTATGCATATTCTAGAGTATTTTTCTTTCCATGTTAAACAACGGAATCAAATACTTGAGTTAAATGAATTATATACATGTACGTGCTTAATGGACAGTCCTTTGTGAGTCGTTCAGATTATAGCTTGATTAAATTACACGAGAATGATTCTATTCAGTTTCAATTTTAGAAATTGATTCAGTTAGATTGAGCCAATTTTTTTTTACACCAATTATGAAACAAGTTATTTCAACTTATATTTATCACTCTTGTTGGCCCGAATGTTAGCGTGTGAGTGTCTTCATGTGGGAGGAAACTGGGGTTACTAAAGAAAAAACACAGGTGACCCCATACCTTTCCAAATTTGATCGGAGAATTGAACCCCGACCGCCTTGGTGAAAGGCCATGCATTTGCCAACACCTAAGGTGTACTGGTACAATTTTTTTCTCTGTTAATATTATGCATTTGTCAAGTCTGTGAGTTGTCATGGATTAGCCAAGTCTAGCTATGGGTATGTGTTTAGGGAGACTGCAAGGCATCAATCCGAGTCATTGATCTGCATTGTCTCAGTGTCTATAATTCATGTGGTTAATAAGTTGATGGTTTTCACTGTCTGGTTGTCCCGGTATGATATGGGTGTCCTCTTCATTGTGTATTAGTAACTCTGGGGATATATAGATATTTTTAATGCTTTTGATAATACAGTTTTAGAAATAATTGATGTGTTTACAATTTTCCTGTCAAAATACAATCCTTTAAATGCTTACCATGCCACCATGTGCCATTGCCCCTAGACCTGATACCTGGGGAAAATAGGTCCTACAAAAAAGACCATTTAGTAAACCCATAAAAAATAAAAGCTAAAATAAAGAATTTTCCAGTAAATTTATTGTCAGGCCCAGCTCTGTTTTTTCGAGGATTTACCACCTCTGTCCTGTTTAAGTTTTGCCATTTGAGTTGAGGCATCCCTGGTATTTGGTGACCTCACCAAATACCAGTCTATCATTATTGTACATGGCTGATAAGATAAGTTTGGCAAGTTTTTAAATTAGGCCACTCATAAATTTAAAATACAAAGTGTATAAGGGTCTCAACAAAAATCATACATGTATTTATTGAAATAATTAGTTTGTGTTGTTATACTATATGAAAAGTTTGACACAAATATATAATTATGATTGGAAAGAGGCATGGTAGTCTATAGCTAGTGGTAGATATATAGGGCGCTGGGCTCATGACCGAAGGGTTGTGGGTTCGAGTCACGGCATGGTACTGTGTTGTATCTTTGAGCAAGATACGTTACCCCGCTTGTTCCAGTCTACTCAGCTGTAAATGAGTACATGTATGTGGTTGGGCAGTGCTAAAATTGTAGAATGCTAGCTGTGATCGCCAAAATGGCAGCACCGGCAGCTGTAATCTTCCCAGGGTGTTAGGAAAGATGTTGGCTGGTTGCACCTCAAATTATTATTATCAAATTATAAGTAATGGTTCTTTAGTTAAATCATCTGTCTAGAGTAAATTATATCAAATAACACAGCTGAATTTTAACTTTTGATTTACTGTTTTGTCCTAGTTTGGGGATCTTTTCAAACCAGAAACGTTGTGTTTTCTTTCATATCACAAACAGATAACAATTTTGATTTTGACATTTAAAAGGCTTGAATACAAAGCAATTGAGGTGTTGATAGATGTATTTTTTGTTAAATATTTATTCAAAGTTACATGTAGTTGGTTAAAATTGTAGACATAGTGGTAGGGTTGAGAGGCTGGGGGTCGGGATGGTGTATACTGCTACCCATGTCTGTCTGATTGCACCCTGTCGTGTCCGCTCCAATCTCGTGTCTCGTGTCCGCTCCAATCTCGGTGTCATGTAGTTCTAGCTTCTTCATTTCTAGCTAATTTAGATAAAACTTTACACAAAATTTGGGTATGAGATTAGATTGGGTAAGTTTTATATTTCATGGTCCTTTAGTCAAGGCCAAGGTCACTGTTCCTATTTATAGAACATTGTCATCTGATTTAGTTTCATCCCTCCAGCAAATTTCTATAGTAACGAAAATCAGTGTATTCAATTTCATTAAAATAATTGTCAAGCAATAAAACTAGTTTCACACAATGTGTTCATGTATAGCAGACGTATTCTTTTTATGAGAGTATCTTTGTACATCCAATCTGTATTTTTGTCTGAGATATTTAATACAATAGTTTAGCTAACAGTTCTTTGTTGCATGAAACAAATTATTGAACTGTACTTTAACCAAAAGGTTTTTGGTAGTGTAACCAGTTTGTATATATAAAAACTCAAAAAATAGGAATTAAAAGGCTAACATGCAAATGTACCTCTGAACCCCTGTAAAATAAATTGAAGTGTAATATCTGATCATCTAGACACAGGAATCAATAATCATTGACGACTGCATGGATCGTTGGAAAAGCTATTTATCTTATTGAACAATTTATCTTCTGTGACTGGGAAGCTAGGTGAAATGTGTTCTGAAGTAGCTAATGTAATATACATGTATTCAATATCGCTAATTAACATTTTGCACAACTTGATATAGTAATTGTATTTTTCATTTCACAACCAGATACCAACATTAACATTAGATAAGTATCTGACCTACATATTGTACATTTATATTCATGAGATTTTAGGTTTAATAAACAGAGCATGTTCCCATTGGAAAATAGCTGTAGGCTCCCTTATCCCTGATTTGTCAAGTTATTATTGTTTTTGCTTTGAATTTTATGCAAATCATGAAAAAAAGATTAGATGTTTTCAATGTGTTACAATGATTAAATGTTGCATTGGATTTCATTTGTTCAATTTCAACATTTGAAAATCCCCCATGTACCTATTGTTTTGCTTGGGTTTGTTTCCAAATTTGGATCCAAAGTCAGCAAGGCCAAAACCCTTGCTAAATTATTGATATCTGAACTATTGCCTTATCCAACCTATTTTTGGCTTGTGTCATGGAAGATTTGACAAATTTGGGTCAAAGTAATTAGGACACTTAGGCTTGCTGCCATTAGTGGAACTTTAGAAATAATATCTTCAGCATGATATGAAAGTCTTTTCAGCAAAACATGGGTGTATGAAATTTAAGTTATAGAATAAAATTGTATATCTAAACATCTAATTGCAAATACATATGGACCACACATACCTGGAACCAGTTATATGTTAAAATCTATTGTTCCTTTGTGGTAATTTAGTGATAAGCTTCATTTTACTTATAATCTTATCATAATAATGGTATCAATATCTTCTGTGTCATTATTCAACACTTTGAATACCTGTTTTCATAATAATAATGTGGTGTATTGCCATATTTCAGTGCAGTGTGGGGGCCACATAATTATTATACAGCTGTGCATTACTGTGTAGCATGTGAAATCTGTATAAAAGCCTTTTAAAACTTTCCAACGGTTGTTGGTAAACTGTTTGTGTTGAAACTTATTAATGTAATGGGCTCATTGTTATATATCTTAGGGGGTTTATATTATACACATGGTTCGAGATTTATATTATACACATGGTGTGAGATTGAATTGAACAAAGGCCAGCGCTGTCCAGGTGTGGAGCCGTGTATGAATTAAAATTAAAAAAAGGCTAATTCCGAGTGAATTTAGGTTACATTGTTAAGGGCCTTGACTTTTGTAGGGTCAAGCAATCATGGTTTTATTCCCAGAACGTAGCGTTTAAATTAGGCTAAGAATAAGCTGTTTAATAAAAGTAAAACCTTAAGAATTCACTGGGTTAACATGTTGTACAAGATTTGTCAGTAAGGCTGAAACAAATTGGTACCTCATTGTACCATACATATCACAGTATGATAGTGCCTACGATACACATATCTGCTCAAAAGGTCAACTTCATGATGACTGAGTACAGGATTTTAAAGAGTTCTGTCATAGACCTTAGTATATATGTTTAGTAAATGCTGTCAAAATCTATTGTTGCACGATTTTTTGTACATTTACACGGTGGGCCACACCTTTTAAGAGTTTTATATACCAAACATTTTTTTTTTTGATAATTTCAGTACCCTAAGTGTATTGGGATACAGGCAAGGAAAACAATTTGAAATGATGTATAAGAAGGAATCATGATACGATACAATACGATATATATCGTTGCAGACCTATGAGTCAGGCCATCAAATCAATAAAAATAAAACCTCCAAAAAACGCAGCTATT